CAGTGGCGCCCCCGCCCCTCCCCGTGCGTCACGGAGCGCTTAAGAGGTGGGTCCCGCTCGCCCGGGGAGCCCCAGTGGCGGAGGCTGCGAAACTTGGGGGAGTGAACGAGAAGGACTGCGGGGCTCGCACGCGGGACCAAGCTGCGATTCGGGACGCTGGTCCCGGGCAGGAGGAGCAGGACCCGGCTGGGTAGGTGCCTCCGTGAGAGCGTGCATCTTTTTGGGGTGGTGCATGAAGGAGGTCGGTGTACGGGCTGGCAGAAGAGGTGTTGGAGGGACGGTTTGAAGGAGCGTGGTTAGAGTGTAGCTCTGATGTTGAGGGTTAGTGGCTTCAGCAGTATGAAGTGTCCACATCGGAGTGGAGTCTACTGGACGTGGTGGTGGGTGGTTGGAGTGGCTGCAAGGTGGAAGCCGCAGGGGGTTGGTGTTGGCGCCAGGAGTGAGGACTTGTCCGGCAGGCAGCTGGACTTAGTTCAGTCTCCCAGGGTGCCCAAGGAGGCGCCCGGCGTTCTGAACTTGATGCTGGCAGGGGGTGAGGGGGTGAAGACTGTCAGTACAGTGGGGAGAAAATACACTGCAGAGCTCCGGTGCTGCTGGGATGCTTCCAATTCCAACTAGGGTACCATTTCCAAAAGGATCTCAGGCTGTCAGCCCCTCACCCCATGCCCCAATGTGTGCGTGTGCGTGCGTGTGTGTGCGCGCGCGTGTGTGTGTGTGTGTGTGTTCTGAGCACTTTAGAGGCAGTGGTTTAGTTTGCAGGGATTTCTGCTTCAAACTTCTTGCCTGAATTCTGTGAGGATACCTCTGGATACCTGAAGGAAATGGTTAGGCTGGTATTGGAATGATGGAGAGGTGTGTGCTGTATATTGGGATATGCCCTCTAGGGTCAGGGTCAAGGTAGCTGGAAGCACAAGGAGGATTGTTTTAGCTGTGGGTTAGACCTGGAGAGGTGTGTGTGTGTATGTGTGTGTGTGTGTGTGTGTGCACGCACGCTCACACTGAGATAAGTGGAAGTGCTTTTCCTTGGAAACCTGCTTGGAAGTTGCTAAGTGCTACCTAAAGGACCCTCCCTGCCTCCCAAACCAGGCCCATATGCTGGTCGCTTCTGTACCCCCTCCCCCAATAGTCCCAGTTGGATTTTTCAGGTAAGAGTGCAATCTGAGGCTTGCTGAGCCTAACAGGTGCAAACCACAGTGTTGCCAGGACCTGCCTGAAGCCGGATTCTCCCACTCCCTCCTTCAACTCCGCCTCTTCCTCTTCCCTGTGGGACTCCCTGCACCCCCCCCCCCACATGGCTAGATGTAGTTCCATACCTCCTGTTGCTGAGTACCTGCACGGAGAAGGGGGGTTGATCCGGATGTGGGACGTCCTAGTAGAGAAACAGGATTTGAATAAGGTTGGAACAAATGCCCAGTCCTGTGTGGCTGCCACCTTTCTTCCTCCACCCGGGCCCATCCCTGCCTAGGCTGTCTTAGTGCAGGCCAACGTGGCTACCCTTATCTCCTGCAGGTGCTGTGGACGGCACCACTGGGCAGGTGGGGGCAGAGCTTTGAGGGTTCTTCTGTGTCGGTTGATTGTCTGTATATGTGCAGGGGCGGGGGTGCCCTGGCCAGGGTTCCTGGCGGTGAGAGAGAGGCTGGGGTCAGAGGGCTTCCTGGGTGGTTGGCCAGGAAATGATAACAGCCTTTGCCCCATCTCTGTCCCCCGTGATCATGGTACTCTCCATTCCAGTTTGATTTCTTATTTTTGCTTCCTGGATGGGGAAGGCCAGAGTTGTGTAGATCCCACACATGGCAGTGGGGAAGGAAACTGTCTTGGAGCCTCCTTTGCATGATTTTTGGCCAGTGTTAATTGAGGGATCTCCCCTGGATGAAATGTCTATTCCTTCATGTGTCTCACAATTAGGGTTATGTGACCCCTTTGCCTGTGCCCCTAGATGGTTCAGGGCACAGACATTTACGGTTAGACCCAGGCGGGTACAGGATGTCTTTGATCCATCTACTGACAGGTTCCTTCTTTCTGCATAGTCACCTTAAGACTTTGGTGGGACTCCAAGAGTTGTCTTATACAAATAACCGGGAAGCTAGGCTTGGTGGCACATGCCTGTAGTTGGAGCACTCAGGAGGCTGAGGCAGGAGGATTCCCACAAGTTCAAGGCCAGCCTGAGCTACATAATGAGCCCTTGTCTCAAAACAAACAACTAAAATAGCACAGAAATTCCTCGGAGGGACTGTCCCTTCTTCTGCACTTCCAGGGGGCTGTTCTTTAGCCTTCTGCTTCCCTTTCACTCTCCTCCAGCATATATGGCCTTTAAAGATCTGGTTCTGTGCTGAGCATGGTGGTGCTCGCCTGTAGTCCCAGCACTTGGGAGGCTGAGGTAGGAGGATTCTCTCAAGTTTGAGGCCAATCTGGACTACATGGTGAGTTCAAGACTAATCTGAACTATATAATGAGATCCTGTATCAAAAGAGAAAAACAAAACAAAAACCTACAAAGATCCGGTGCCAGTTCCTCAATCCTCTGAGGAGCTGGGGATGGTGAGGAGGCCTGTGTTCCCTGTTTATTTCTTTTCTTCTGGAAGCATCCCAGGCAGTACAGAGTGGGTGCCTGGGCCCAGATGGCAAGACTGGGGTACCCGTGGGATCTGATGCCTTTGCTCAGCATGCTGGGTGGAGGTGGAGGATGGGCTCCAATGGTTGCACTGCTACTGGGGCCACCTTACATAGCTGGACCTGCACTGCCAGCCTGTCTTCTAGTCCCAGGCCGTCCGTATCCCCAGGCACCATGGGAGGAAAGGGGGCATTCAGAAGGTAGAGTATACCTGGGAATATTCCCGGAAGTTCCTGACTGGAGAAAAAACACACTTGCTCCTGGGGGCTGAGATGGGGGCTCCCATGGCAGCCCTTTTCATCCCCCTCCCAGCCCCCACCTTCCCTGATGAGGGAGAGGCCAGAGACTGGAGGAACACAGCTTTGCCCTGTTCCAGTAGAGAAAGGCTGGCTGGATGCCTTCCCTGGCCTGGGGTTCCCAGGCTGGCTGGGGTGTGGCTGGGCTTCCAACTGAACCCACTCAGGCAGGGCCACTGCCCAAGGACTTTGTGGCACGTAGGGTAGGGGTCAGGATTCCTGGGTTCTGGGCTGTGGCCCTGGTGCCTCTGTCCCATCTCTGGGCCTGCCATGTGGCTGCCCTGGGCCTGTCTTTTGATAACAAGGCTTCAGGCTTCAGGCTTCCCTCACTGACTCCTTCCTTCCCTCCCTTGGTCTCTTCCTTCCATAGAGATGCCCTGTATCCAAGCCCAGTATGGGACACCAGCACCAAGCCCAGGACCCTATGACCACCTGGCAAGTGACCCCCTGACCCCTGAGCTCAGCAAGCCCACCATGGACCTGGCCAGCCCCGAGGCAGCCCCTGCTGCCCCCACTGCCCTGCCCAGCTTCAGCACCTTCATGGACGGCTACACAGGAGAGTTTGACACCTTCCTCTACCAGCTGCCGGGAACAGCCCAGCCATGCTCTTCGGCTTCCTCCTCTGCCTCGTCCACATCTTCATCCTCGGCCACCTCTCCTGCCTCTGCTTCCTTCAAGTTCGAGGACTTCCAGGTGTACGGTTGCTACCCTGGCACCCTGAGCGGCCCACTAGATGAGACCCTGTCCTCTAGTGGTTCTGACTACTATGGCAGTCCCTGCTCAGCTCCGTCACCATCTACACCCAGCTTCCAGCCTCCCCAGCTCTCTCCCTGGGATGGCTCATTTGGTCACTTCTCCCCCAGCCAGACTTATGAAGGCCTGCGGGCATGGACAGAGCAGCTGCCCAAGACTTCTGGGCCTCCACAGCCACCGGCCTTCTTTTCCTTCAGTCCCCCCACTGGTCCTGGCCCCAGCTTGGCCCAAAGTTCCCTGAAGTTATACTCCTCGCAGGCCACCCACCAGCTGGGGGAGGGAGAGAGCTATTCCCTGCCAGCTGCTTTTCCAGGCTTGGCACCCACTTCCCCGAACCTCGACAGCTCAGGGATGCTGGATGCACCCGTAACTTCAGCCAAGCCCCGGAGTGGCGTCCCAGGTGGAAGTGAGGGCCGCTGTGCTGTGTGTGGGGACAACGCCTCCTGCCAGCATTACGGGGTCCGTACTTGTGAAGGCTGCAAGGGCTTCTTCAAGGTATTCTGCTGCCCTGGGCCTGGGGACAGGCTTGTCACTCATCCCATTGGGGTCTTTGGTGGGCCCCTTTGCCTTCTCTTCCCAGCTAGTCCTGTCCTGTAGGAAGGGAACAGGCCTGCCAGATGGGCCACTTTCCTAGGGACCTATAGATGCGTAGGCTGGGACCTTTCATTCATGGGGGCAGGCAGGGGCCAGGATGACGGGATTACAGAGAGCTGCAGGCGTGAGATAGGTTAGAGGTTTTGGGTTGTGGGGGTACCCAGGAGGGTTCCCTGTCCTGACCACCCTTTGGTTCTCTGCCTACCCACCCCACGTCCTGATGGGAAGGGGCCTCAGGCACTCATGTTCCTGGCATTAGATGAAAGGATCTGGGCAGAGGGTTTGGTTCTTGAATACTGGGGGTGGACTTGGGAACAGGCTGTGTATTTGTCCCAGTGCTGGGTGCCTGCTTAGCTTCCCGTCCCCACCCCCAGCTCCTTGCCCTCTCCTGTGGGTCCCAAGGAAGGAGCCAGTGGACAGGCTCATTAAAAAACACAGATGTCTGGACTGCTTGGGGTGGGGGTCCCTAGCCCCTAGTTTCGGGCCCTGGTGGCTTCCTCCAGAGGCAGAAGCCGCCCCAACATCTCCAGGACTTCTCTCTACCCTCCCCTGCAGCTCTCCCTCCCCTGCCACCCAAATGTTAGAAAAATAGCGATGAACAGAGAATGCTTTTGTCTGCGTCGTCGGCAGCAGGATCTGGACAGTCCCCTCCCCTGGGCTTCCCCCCGCCCCACCCCACACGCTGACAGCCTGTTCCGTGTTGCCCCCTCAGCGCACAGTGCAGAAAAGTGCCAAGTACATCTGCCTGGCAAACAAGGACTGCCCTGTGGACAAGAGGCGGCGGAACCGCTGCCAATTCTGCCGCTTCCAGAAGTGCCTGGCTGTGGGCATGGTGAAGGAAGGTGGGTGGTAGGACGGGGCCCAGAGGAGCAGAGATGGCATGGCAGGGTGGGGCAGGGCAGGGCGGGGCAGGGTCCCCAGGCATCTGCCTGAAACTCTATGGTGGAGGGCAAGTCTGCCGTTTGGTACCATTCCCTCCAGACCCTTGGGCTTAGGGGGAGGCAGCATCCACCTGCCTGGTTAGTGAAGGAGGTGGTAAGGGAGGGCCTTATAGGGTTCCTTGGGGCTGAGGGACTCTGGGTCTTGGGTTCTGAGGGTCTCAACAGCAGTGTGTATGCATTGCTTGAGTTAAAGGTCTCTTCCTCAGATCCCTTCCTTCCTCATCCCTGCTCAACCTTTTTGCAGTTGTCCGGACAGACAGCCTGAAAGGCCGACGGGGCCGGCTACCTTCAAAACCTAAGCAGCCCCCAGATGCCTCCCCTGCCAATCTCCTTACCTCCCTGGTCCGGGCACACCTGGACTCTGGGCCCAGCACTGCCAAACTGGACTACTCCAAGGTGAGGCCCCCACCTGCTCCGCTCTCTGCTGTGAATATTTGTGTGCCTTTCCACACATCAGGAAAGGCATGCCCTCTAGGGCAGCTCATCAGAAAAAGAGGAGAGCCCCACCGTAGGTTGACCAGATGGAAAAGTATGCCCCCTCGGTGGGCAGCCAATTGGGAATATATGCTCCTTGCAGGAGCTGCAGCTCTGGATTGAATGTGGGAACTAACAATCAAAAAGCACGGGCCCCATCCAGTACCTGTTTTCACTCCCAGATCTGGCACCCTGACTGCATGATGGTTGGTGGAGGCCCTGCCTGCAGTGCTTATCCCAGGACCACTTTCTAGTTCCAGGAGCTGGTGCTGCCCCGCTTTGGAAAGGAAGACGCCGGTGACGTACAGCAGTTCTATGACCTGCTCTCTAGTTCCCTGGAGGTTATCCGCAAATGGGCTGAGAAGATCCCTGGCTTTGCTGAGCTGTCCCCAGGTGACCAGGACCTGCTGCTGGAGTCAGCCTTCCTGGAGCTCTTCATCCTCCGCCTGGCCTACCGGTGAGCCGCCTGCCATCCTCCCAGCCTCTTCCCTGCTCGTGCTTCCTGAGAGTACCCTGAGCCCTGACCGCCGTCTGCACCTCTCCCTCCAGGTCTAAGCCGGGTGAAGGGAAGCTCATCTTCTGCTCAGGCCTCGTGCTGCACCGGTTGCAGTGTGCTCGTGGCTTCGGTGACTGGATTGACAGCATCCTGGCTTTCTCACGGTCCCTGCACAGCTTGGCTGTTGACGTCCCTGCCTTTGCCTGTCTCTCTGCTCTCGTCCTCATCACTGGTGAGTGACTGGTACCCAGCAGGGTCCTAGGACCTCGGTGTCGGGTTTAAATGTTTCTCAAGAGGGCACCATAGAGGACCTTGGGCAGGCTGGCCTCTAACACTTGCTGTGCTCTTACATTGTGCCTTGCTGATACCCAGTTATCATGTTGGTGACAAGCACTGAAAGGGACTCAGCTTTTATTCCACTCCAAAGCTGGCCTTTGGATGATCCTAGACTGCCTGAGATGCATCATCCATCGGTGCCATATGTCTAGTTTAGGGTCTTGGTTTATTTTTAAAAACCTCCCTATTAGGCCGGGGATTTAGCTCAGTGGTTTTGCTGCCTGCCTCACAAGTGCAAGGACCTGAGTTTGAGCCCCAGTACCAAGAAAAAAAATAAAAATCTCCCTATCACCTAGGCATGGTGGCACACATACATGTAATCCCAGCACTTGAGAGGCTGAGACAGGAGGATCGAATATTCCAGCTCATCCTGGGCCGCCTATGGAATCTAACTTGGACCACCTAGTGAGACTCTGTCTCAAAAAAATAAAAATAAACTAAAAATGAAAACTACAGATCTCCCTGTTAATTGTACAACGTACAGGAAAATGCACACATGATGAATGTTTAAAAACCACATTTGTATAACCAGCCCTTTGGTCAAGAAACAGAGCATGACCAGCACCCCAGAAACTCTCCTCGTACCCCACTCCCATTACTATCTCTCTGAGAGGTAGCCACCACTGATTTCCGACGGCACAAACTGGTCATATCTCTTGGTGACTTTGTTGTGTGTGATTTGGCAGGATGGGCTCTGGTGTTGAATGGAGCGGTATTCAGATCTCCTATTTTACAAAGAACCAGAACATACCCCCCACCCCCATTTCATTCAAATTGCATGGGGGACCCAGCCCTACAGAACAGAATCAGGAGTACTAAGGGCTGGAGAGGAAGTGCTGGGGTCTGAAGTCAGCTTTCCTTGTGCTAGCTGTAAAACAAGCTTGCTTGACTCCAGGCTTCCCTGGAACAGTCTGGAAAAACCCTGGCCTAACTAGGAAACCTAGGTTATTTCATTTTTGTGACCTTGGGCAAGTTATTCATGTTCACTGGGCCTGAGTGCCTCCCTTGGAGTATGAGGATCGAGTGTCCCTTATGATGAGGCTTGAAAATGGACTGTGGGAACACACTCTGGCCAGAGCTTGGCGGCTGCACTTGTGGAGGCCTGGGGGAAGCTGGGTCTTCTGGTGGCTGGTCCTCGCTTGGGTGTCTGAACCTGTACCCTTCTCGGCAGACCGGCACGGGCTGCAGGAGCCGCGGCGGGTGGAGGAGCTGCAGAACCGCATCGCCAGCTGCCTGAAGGAGCACATGGCGGCCTTGGCGGGTGAGCCCCAGCCAGCCAGCTGCCTGTCACGTCTGTTGGGCAAACTGCCCGAGCTGCGGACCCTGTGCACCCAGGGCCTACAGCGTATCTTCTACCTCAAGCTGGAGGACTTGGTGCCCCCTCCACCCATCGTTGACAAGATCTTTATGGATACGCTGCCCTTCTGACCCTGGCCCCAAGCATGTGTGCACTCGTATGTGCGCTCTTACGTCACCCCACGTGCCTTCAGTCCACGGACCCCCAGGGCATCCTCCAGCCTGGGCTCGGGCTGCAGACTGACGCACCTCCTACCCTGCTCCAGGAGGTGGCAGGAGCTCAAGTCCTGGGGAGGGGGATGTATTCATGGGGGTGACCCCACTATCTGTCTTATCCTCCAAGCCTGGCCCTGGCCTTCATGTTTTTTGTAAGATAAACCATTTTTAACACATGCCGCTGTGCTGTAAATAAGCCGAATGCTGCTGTAAATACAGGAAGGAAGAGGTTGAGGTGGGGGTTGGGAAGAATGGACGGGGCCTCCACCAGCCCGGGCAAACCTTTCCAGCCTCCTTCAACTTGCTCCCTCTTCCCACCCACCTTCCACATGTACATAAACCGTCACTCAAGGAAGAAGACAAATGACAGATTCTGACATTTATATTTGTGTATTTTTCTTGGATTTATAGTATGTGACTTTTCTGATTAATATATTTAATATATTGAATAAAAAATAGACATGTAGCTGAAATTGGGATTGTCTCTGACATCCATGAGACAGAGGAGTGGCTCTGGGCAGATCTTGGCTATTACCAACTTGAACAGGCCTCAGTTTACCCGTCTTTAGGAGGCAGGTCATGCTGACACCTGCTTCACGAGGCTATTATGCAAAGCATTTGTGCTAGTTGCCTTTTTTTCCTTCCGGTACTGGGGATTGAACTCAGGACCTTGCACTTGCCAAGCAGGTGCTGCACCTCTGAGCTATATCCTGGGCTCCTGTTAGCTTCTAACACAATGAAAGTCTCCACTACCCCCTCCCCACCAGGGATTTGATTAAACCCAGGGCCTCACAATGCTAGGCTATTGCTCTGTGACTGACTGAACTACACCCTGGGCCCTGTAATTGTTGGTTTCCACACCTGTGAAAAAGAATAGACCTCTGCCTTACCGAGCTGTAGGACTAGAGGAACATGCTTATGTAGTTAGTGTTTAGCATAGGGGTAGGTAGAGGAGAACCTAAATTGGTAGTAGCTGGTGTTGCTTAGTTTAAATTTTGTTTCATCCCCATTTTCACCGTTCTCTCCACCCCTGCAACAGACCCCATACAGTGGGTATCTCTTGTCTTCTTGGCAAGAAAATTGTTCTGAGACTTACCCATGTCCAAGTGCCTCCATACAGGTTCTTCAACCCTGCCCCTAGCTCCTCAGATGCTTAGCTGGCTTCAATGCAGATTCCTGGGCTCTATTCCTCAGACAGGTTTGTTGAGGGATGAGGCCCATTAATACGTCCTTCAGCTGCCATCCAGATCTGGGGGCTGGCCACCCTTTTGGAGTCAGCAGCCTCATCACTCCTTAGACCCACAGGAGTCCTGCAAGTAGTGTCTTCACACCCGCTTCTCACTAGCCCTGGCCCAGGACCTGAGTCTCCACTTGCATAGGCCCTGGAAACTGGCTGGATAGGGGCAACCCCAGTGCATGAGAGTTGGGCACCATAGGCTCTGCTCTAGAGCAGGGGAGAAGCCAGCACCCTCCCAGGTACCCCGCAGCCATATGCCCTCACCTGGGTCCTGGGAATGCAGTCCAGCTTCAGCCTTCTGAGGGGTCTGCAAGTGTCCAGCAGAGCTGTGAACTTCCTGGCATGTGTGCTAAAGTTCCTGAGTGTACTTAACAGCCCCAGCACCCGAAGGGGAAATGGGTAGGGGCGCAGTCAGCAGCGGGCCCCTCAGGCTTGTACCCTCCCTGCGGCTGCCAGAGAAACCCCTTTTCCTCACTGAGCCTGTTCAGTGTTGGGGATGTTCCTCTGGTGACAAAGCTCTGGTTAGGGACAGCTTGCTGGGAACCTCCCCTGCTGTGGCTGGACTGAGTTCCCTTCAATTTGGGTCACTCTCCTCCAGGCACCTTTAGCACAGACAGATATGCAGACAGGGCAGGCCCCTGGGGAAGGCGGCAGGACTACAGTCCTTAGGTGCTTGGGGGTTGGGCCAGAGGCTGGGAATGGTGGGGCAGAGGAGAGTCTTGGTCCCCTGAGTTCTCAAAGCCCTGTTGTGATGATAATAGCTACCAGCTAGCTCCTTTTTCCTGTGTTTATTATGTCCTGGCCTCAGTACCACCTAAGGAAAAAAGCATGATTATCCCCACCTCACAGGTGGGGACTGAGTAACATGGCAAAAAGTAAGTACTCTGGATCCAGATTGCCTGGGTTTAAATCTTGGCTCCAGGGCTGGGGGTGTAACTCAGACGAAGCACAGGAGCGCTCAGCGTGCGTGAGGCCTTGGGTTTGATCCCAGCACAAGCAGGTGCACTCACAAATACACAAAAAGGAAGTAAAAGAAGAAAATCCTGGAGCTAGCTCTTCAGATTTTAGAGTTTTGTTTTGTTTTTTCCTTTTTGAGACAGGGTGTTGATCTGTAATTCATGCTGGTCTTGAACTCACTATGTAGCCCAGGCTGGCCTTGCACTTGCAGTAATCCACCTGTCTCAGCCTCCCAAGTGCTGGGATTACAGGTGTGCGCCACCACACCTTGCCCTGCGATAGCTCTTACTAGCTGGGTAACACTGGGCAAGTTACTTAACCTTTCTGTGCCTCAGTATTTCTTCTATAAATGAGAAAAAAAAATCGTACCTCTTTCATAGAGTTACTATACTATAAGAGTGAAAACACATAAAGTGTTTCGAATGGTGCCTTGCACAGAAATAACCAATAAATATTAGCTGTTTTTCCAAAAGCGGGTAATCCACTGGAAAGGAAGTGACTTTCCCAAGGTCACTTGGCTTCTAAGTAGCTGATGTGCTGTGTCTGGCTGCTTAACCACTAGATCTCCCATCCTAGTGCCTGGCAAATAAAAGCTACATTGGTGGCAAATTCTTTCCAGGACTACTGGGGTGGGGGTGGGGAGTGCTGACCCTCCAGCCCCACCCAGCCCCGCCCAGCTGGAGGCTGGAGGCTGGAGGCAGGCTCTTTTTTTCCACTCAGCAACTGAAGGAACTGGCCTCCAAATCTCGCTAGGGGCCCCTGAGTGCAAACAAGGGGGCATTGAGCCTGGTGGGGCCTCACAATGGCTGCTCTGTCCCTGCTGGCCGGGGGCTGGGCCCATTTCCGACAGGGACAATAGTCAAAAGGCAATGACGCCGGCAGGGCCTGGAATCCCAGGCGGGATTTTCCAAGGCCTCAGAGCCTGCTGTTTGTCCTCACGCGCAGACCCAGGAAGCCTGCCTCCCTGTCTCCCCACCCCACCCACGCTGGGCCCTGTGCCCAGAGGCCCTGGACCCCTCCTCAGCCTTGAGATGCCGCCATGACTCAGGAGGTCTGGGGTGGGAGGGGCCCTGTACACCCAGGGGTCCGTGCCCATGCCCTTCTCTGGGGTGTGTGGTGGAGAAAGCTGCTGCATATCTGGGCTCTAGCCACCAGGTCTTAGTTATGGAGAGAGGTGGTGAAGGTCACCCTTGAGGAGTCTAGGAGCTTCTGAAGCTCACGACAAGTATGGTCCATTCTGTATTCAGCATGCTGAGCTTCATGGCATCAGCTACATGATCTAAGAGTGTGGCATATGTCTATGATTCCAGTACTGGGGAGGCTGAGGCAGGAGGATTGAGTTCAAGGCCAGCTTGGATTACACAGTGAGTTCAAGACCAGCCTGGATTACACAGCGAGATCCTGTTTCAAACAAACAAGCGAAAGTTTGAGCCCAGCCCAGGCAAATTAGGAACGTACCTGTCTCATCTCAAAAACTGAAAAAGGCCAGGGATATAGCTCAGTAGAGTGCTTTCCTGGCATACAGGAAGTCCTGGGTTCGATTTCCTGTACCACAAAAAACAAAGCACACATACAAACCTGAGCCTGTTAGAGACGACAAGATGTGTGTGGTAACTGGATGGTGAGCTGCGATGGCCTTCACAGCCATGAGGCAATTGTGTGAAACGTCAGAGTTGTGTCCTGGCTGAGGGCAATGCTGGGTGGCCCGTGTGTGAAAGCTGGGCCTGGGACCCCAGAAGGTTTAAGCTTAGAAATCTGGGTGAGCACCAGCCTCTTTTCCACAAGCGCCCCGACTGCAGCAGAGCTCCTGGGCCTCCTCAGAGAATGAAGCTGAAGGGGTTAGTAAGCCTCTTGTCCACCCAGCTTCCAACTCAAAGCCCCACAGCTCATCCAGCAGCTTTTCTGGCCTCACCAGAGCAGCCAGGATTCAGCCTCAGGCTGTGAGCTCTGCCTGAAACTCTGCCTCCAGCCCTGCTCCAGCCTCAGGCTCTCAGGCTTCTGCCCAGGCCCCCACCCTCAGGGTGCTGGTAGATTTTGAAACCTCTGGCCCCTGTAGTAGGTACAGGAAAGAGTCAGTGCTAGGCTGAGTTTTATAAAGTCCCCTCACTCCTCAATGTTTATTGCCCCTTCCAAGATCCCAGCTGACTTCAGAGCTGTCCTGGGGGCTGCAGCACCCTAGAGGTTTAGGCCCTACCTTCTGCCTCCCACCCACCACTCTGGGCCCTTTCTTGGCTCATCTGCCCCACCACCTTGGCTCCTTCTGGCCTCCCACTGGGCCCCGACCGTATCTGACTGGGGGGCCACATGAGGTCTCCTCAAGGTCTGACCCAGGCACTGGCACTGCTCATTCCTCAATGTGGGACCATAAATCAGGCTCAGTGAGGCTGTGCCTGCCAGGGATGGCAGCTGGGCCAGGAAGGGGAGGTGGGGGGGT